AGTGTGGGTTGTATATTGAGGAGGTGAGACAAAACATAGTTTTATTTGCTAAATTTGGTACTAATAATTGCATGCCCCTGGCACTGTCTTGTTCTTTCTTTTCTTAACAGCTATTTATCAATAATAAATATGTAGACTCTGTCAGTGGAAAAACATTTCCCACCATTAATCCAGTGACTGAGGAAAAGATATGTGATGTGGCAGAAGGTGACAAAGTAAGTATACACATATGTAGCAATAGAAGTGTAGGGATGTACTAGTAATTGGACAATAGTTCTTGTAAGTCTCTAATGTGCGGGAAGTCACAGGATTGACTCTAGTTTTGGGAAATGAATTCATATATTTGTTTCTTTTGAGTTTAACTTGTTGTACTGATTTGTCATACCATCTTCATTCTCATTTTTCTACCCAGGAAATTTATTCTTGGAGAGAGCAAAACTTATTTTACTGTCTACATGGTATCACCTTTCTCATATAATTTTTCACCAAGTTTAACACCATCATACAGATTGGATCAAGAGGTTACTGACAGTGCACTAATAAACATCATAAGCAGTTTATAATGTGTGATCATCTGGGTGAGGGCAGCCCTGGATGGAATCAATATTTTTCATAGAGGTGCGGCCCCTGCTAGTTCTGAAAAGAACATAACTGCATGTTGTTGGTGACAGACTTTTGAACAACCTGAGAAGAAGTCATATTCTAACGGAAGATGACTTCTGCTCAGGTTGTCAAAACATCAGTCACCAACTGTTGACAGTTTTTTTCAGAACTACCCTCACCCAGATGATCACACTGTACCAACAACTGATACTCCTGAGTTCAAACATCATAACATTTTATAAGGCATCAACAAAAAAACACTATGAACTGTATCCTTTGTATTCAAAAGGCTGCTAAAATGCTGCTGAATATTCTCTTTCTCTGACATTTTGATTAACACTCTTGCATCCTGTTCTAGGCTGATGTAGACAAAGCTGTTAAGGCAGCTACTGAAGCTTTTAAACTGGGGAGTCCTTGGAGGACCATGGATGCTTCCCAGCGAGGCAACCTGCTGTTCAAAGTAGCAGATCTTAT